CGTAAAGGATTGGGAAATATGTCTCTTATATTTATAATTCTTAATCGCTTCTCATAGTTATTCTTATTAAGTACCCACACGCATGCGGCCTGCATGCACCGACTATTGCACACATGCAGCGTCCATGCTTATCCAATCACGGAGGGGCGGGCGTCGGCTTCTATCTATCGATGCCCAAAAGAATGTATCAGGGGAATAACTAACCGGCAATTATTGTAGCGGCCAAACAAATTTGTACAACTTTAGGTGGTTTAGAGGCCCAATAAACCTAGAGGAAGGGAGTTCATAGGTTTGCACGCTCCTTGTTTTTCACAAACACTAGTCAACTCAATTGGTGAGCCACTCACTCTCACATGCAAGAGGTCCGCTGGTCACAATGAGCAAGAACATAAGCTAGTAACTTACACACTTCCCTAGACTATGTTACTACCTTCATAGTGGGTAGGAACATCTATGTAGTGTCATGCAACGATGTATTTATTAGGTTATAGACTCATTGTTTCTTGGAGTGTGTGATGTTTCGGTAACTTAGCTAGTTACCACAAGCACCTCTCTCTTCATTAAATATGTGCCACATAAGCAAAGTTGTATTGAAGTGTGTGATGTTACTCCTAAGTTCCTCCCCACTGACGGGCGCATGCACTTCATTTGTGAACTTTACAGCCCATGAACATCCACGCTCCCTGTAGCCATCGCCAATGGTCTGGCCCTGTCGGAAGTGATATCTTTATGTTCTCTACTGTCCATAGGGAGAGTACTATGGTCGAACTGAAAGACAAATCCAATGCAGACAAAAACTCAAGGGATTGAAATAAACATCATGGAAAGAACAACCATGGGAAGAATAGAAAGAGGAAGATAACTAGGAAGATGGGACACATGAGGGATATCTTAAGAAAACGATGCACAACTTCAGAGAATGGATATTTTTATTAGTGTGGAAGTCTGAGTTAACAAGCATTTTTGTTGTTGTCGTTAGTAACTTCAAGGGCAAACTGAGGTGATCTGTGAACACACACTTCTGCAGCCAAGCTACAGTGGTTAATTCAAATGAAGATGAGGATTTTCTTGATTTCAAATTTAATCAAACTCCCAGTGGGGTAACCACTTCGTGACATCAAGCTCAAAGGTGGGGTGGGGGTGGGGTGGATTCATGAAATAGTGTACATGGTTCCTCCCTTCCCCCAAAGTGAATCTTGTCATTTTATCTTGTTCGTCTTGTTCAACTGAATAAAATGTTAGGAGCTTGGGCTATTGCAGGGAAATTCTGATGATCAAGAAGCATACAGTTTGAGCATGGAATCAAATCCTTGGATGATCATGGGATATGTAAATATATATACTATATACTTGAGTATAACATACTATATACTATATATTTGGATGATCAACAGACGCCGGGTCAC